GTTCATTCAAGGTTTGGCTATGGAAGATACTTACCTGAGTTGGATGTGAACTGCAGAGGTGGCGTTGACGAGTTGTGACCACATTGATGACTTGGAGATAATCTACAGGAGTAGCGCTGATACATTGGAAGTTATATTGATGAGTTGACAAGAGATTTGTGTTGCGCTGATGAGCGTTGGACTCAGGGGAACTTTGAAACACTTTGTAATCCTATTCTGTTAATATAAGTTGTGAAACTCGGTCCTCTCCTCATCTACCTTTGTCTATGACTCAAGACTATTGAACATTGTGTGTGAGGATGATGCATGACATGTACACACTTGCGTGAGACGGTCCCCAGGACCCATGCAATCAGTGCGGCCGTGGAATTTATTATTGTTATTGTGCGGCAGGCGCGCATCACAATGTCTCATTTCTGGAATTATCTGAAATTGTCGGTTCTCACTCGTTTCATTCCTTTCTTTTTCTTCCCAGTCTCACTCACCTTCGCTATTGATGAGGGGACTCCTGCCCCGCGAACCAAACAGCAAGTTGAAGAGCGAAAAAAAATCTTGATTGGTCGTTCGGATTGTTATCTAAACTCCATGACTTTGGTGCTAGAGGCACAGGTACGTGCCCAGTTTGATTTGAAAGCAATTCATGATGCTATCGAATCAGCTGAGACTGGCACCGACTTCTTGAAGGTTCAGAATGAACTCGTCAAGTATCGTCAGGCACATGATAAGATTATTATGGAACAACTTGCAAAGATCTCAGAACAAAAGGAAGAGAAAGAAGTTGATGTGACTGAAGAAACCGTGGATGAGAACATCAGACAATTGGAAGAAGCACTTGAGAGAGAAAAGCAGAGGAAACAAGAAATGAGAAGGCATAAAGAAAGAAATGTACAGCAAGAACAAAAAGTGGGAAAAGTTAGACATACTGTTATTCACACTGAAGAGGAAGAACATGCAATTTCTTTGGCCCAACTTGTGAATTACCTTGCCCACTTGGAAATGAAAATAGAGCGGATGCAGTCCCAAATTGATGACGTGGCCTCAGGACTCCGGACAGTCACGAATTTGGTCAAGGGAAAGGAACAGGTCAAGGAAGAAAAGACTAAAAAGCGAGAGAAACTCATGGGAGACGCCATGAAGTCTCTCAAGGTAGAAACAAAGAAGACGGAAGAGAAACCAGAAACAAAGAAAGGGGAGCCTTCGAGTCCGCCGTCTTCTTCTCCCAGCTCCTCTCCTTCCTCTCCTCCAAAGTCTCCTTCTCCGAAATCACAGGACAAAGTAACCACACAACCGGAGAAACCCAAGAAGAAGGAGAAAGTTAAAATGAAATTGTCTTTCACGTTTTGTAATAAGAAAGACGAAAATCTGCTTTTGTGGATCACAGAGATTCAAACGTACTGTAGAACGGCCCCTGTCGAACCCGAATCCCAGGTTGCCTTCTCTACTTCTTGTCTTGGTGGGGAAGCTAAGGAGTGGGTTTTGGCCAAAGCCAATGCCACAGGGTTCGATGACTTCGGGGAGTGGGCTGGAACTTTGAACCTCAAACAGCTCCTTGGGAAGATCAAGGAACGGTTTCTGGACAAAACAACGACCGATGAGGCCTTTGACCAGCTCACCACGATTGGTCAAAGACATTGGACCTCTATGGAGTCGTTATCTCGGGAATTTGATCATTTGCTGCAGGTTCCGGGACTGAACCTGCAAGACAACCAGGTCTTGTACATCTATTCCCATGCTCTGCCCGAGACCATTCGTGGACAACTCGTGGCAAAGTCCAAGTCTGGAAAGTATAATTATAGGCAGTTTCGGGATCTGGCTCTTCAACGAGAGCAAATGACCTCGCAGGTTAAGAACTCTTATGCATCTGTTGTGAAATATGGTGGTGGTGCAGGAACAGGGAAGCGAATACTTTGGCGCCAAAAGCGCCAGGATCACACCCTTGTCGTCTTTGATGACGTTACCGTAGAGAATTGGCCATTGGAGGTCGAGGGTGTGACAAGCAGCAGTGATTCTGGGAAGGGGGAAGTCACTGTTGTCGTGGTCAACAAGGGAGGACCACGACCGCCGGTTAAGAAGAAGAAGTCACGCTCGTTCCCAGAGCACCCCGAAATTGCGGTCGGAAAGCCTTGGGAGAAGATGGGCCTGTCACAAGAAACGTGTCAGGAACGAATGGACAACGCGCAATGCCTGAAGTGTGGCATTGCAGGGCATGTAATTGCATGGTGCCCGTTGATTCGAAACCCAAAAGCGAGCCGCCAGTAGGAGTAGCATCTGCTCCTACTGAGTCTAAGTGTTTGGACAAAGATGAAGGTAAGGCGCCGACTAACCCTTCCAACCCTTTGACTCGCATGGCAGAGGATGGTTCTTCTTCGGCCCATCGTCCGGAACACCCTGAACCTGTCTTATGTTCTATCTCTCTGGACGACTCTCTTGACGAGCTTAGTAACAAGTTGTTGGCATTACGAAGCTCGTGGGCTAAGAAAGCTAAGTCTAAGGGTGACCTACTACTCGCGGATATAGAAATCGCACCTACACGCGTAGGTGCTCTGTTGGACTCAGGATCCACGCGATCCTACATATCTGAGAAAGCGATTTGCAAGTTGCATCTTGGAATGAAGGTGAAGAACCTGTCTAGACCTATCATGTCTGTTTTGGCTGACAAAAGCACGATCACTGTCTCGCAGTATGTTGATCGTGTGAAGTGTCGATTTCGAACCAAAGGAAGATAATTTTTCACGAGGTATCCTTCCTTGTAGAAAATAACCTACCGTTCGACTTGATTCTAGGAATGGATTGGCACGAGGAAGCAAACCCAGACATTGAGTTCAAAGAGAAGGTTGTGCAATTGCGAGACGCACAATCTGAATTGAAACCTATCAAACAGTTTCATAAGTCTGGATCTGACTCTAGTCTCTCTTTTTGTTGTACGAGTTACCCAGCATTTCGATCGATGGTTTCAAAGAAAAAGTTGGAGCAGAAAGTAATGATGGTCTCAGTTAAGAAAGCAGGTGAATGCTCTACTTCCTACCCTCTTTCGACTGAAAAACTCCTCAGTGAGTATAAAAAGTTATTTTCCGAACCGACAGGAATAACTTAACGTGCTATTAAGCACACAATCGAAATTATTCCTGGCAGTAAGATTCCCAAGGGCCCTATCTATCGGATGTCTCCTAGGGAACTTGAGGAATTAAGAAAACAATTGCATGACTTGACAGAAAAAGGATGGATTCGCCCAAGCTCTTCTCCTTATGGTGCCCCTGTCTTATTTGTGCCCAAAAAGGAAGGTGAGTTGCATCTTTGTATTGATTACAGAGGGCTGAACGCCATCACTGTTAAGAATGTCGAACCTCTACCACGCATTGACGACTTATTGGACCAGTTGCAGGGCTGCAAGTTCTTCAGTAAGATTGATTTGACGTCCGGATACCACCTGATCGAGGTGGAACCCACGTATCAACATAAGACTGCGTTCCGGACCAGGTATGGCCATTACGAGTTTATGGTGATGCCCTTCGGACTGACTAATGCCCCCGCGACCTTTCAAAGGTTTATGAATGAACTCTTTCGTCGGTGGCTAGATAAGTTCATCATCATCTATCTTGATGATATTCTAGTGTACAGCAAGACACTAGAAGATCACGAGAAGCACCTTCGTCTGGTGCTAGGGAAGTTGCGTGAGGGCAACTTCAAGATCAATCCCAAGAAGTCTGAGTTTGCTAAGTCCGAAGTGCTATACTTGGGACACATAGTGAACGAGGAAGGTCTAAGGCCGAAAGAGAAAAATATTTCAGCAATTAGAGATTGGTCACAACCTAAGTCTATAACTGAATTGCGATATTTTATTGGTTTAGCCGTTACTACAGGAAGTTTGTTAGGAACTTCTCACTGATTGCTGCACCAATGCGAAGATTGTTAAAGAAAGAAACTATCTGGTTGTGGCATAAGGATTGTGAGTCTTCCTTTCGAAAATTGAAATATGCCCTGACTCACTACCCCGTCCTTAAGATTGCTGACCCGTCTTTGCCTTTCATTGTCACTACTGATGCACGTCAGTATGGGATTGGCGCTGTTCTTCAGCAAGATGACGGCAAGGGCTATAGGCCCATTGAGTTCATGTCTGCATGACTGCCGTCGGAAAAAGTTGCCAACTCCACCTACGAAAGGGAGTTGTATGCCTTAGTCTATGCACTAAACAAGGGCTATAGGCCCATTGAGTTTATGTCTGCATGACTGCCGTCGAAAAAAGTTGCCAACTCCACCTATGAAAGGGAGTTGTATGCCTTAGTCCATGCACTAAACATGTGGAAACACAACTTATTAGGGAGGCACTTTACTGTGTACTCAAACCACTCTATTCTGAAGTGGATAAAGACACAGCCTAGGCTCTCTGATAAGCTGGTACGATGGTCTGCATTTATTGATACCTTCGATTTTGAGTCGAAAACGATCAAAGGTAAGTCTAATGTAGTCGCAGACGCATTGTCCAGACGGAGTGATTTCTTTGGTGCAATTGTCTCTTACTTGGATGTTGGGAATGACCTGAAAGACCAGATTCGCCAAGGATATGCTACTGATCCTATCTGGAAACCAATCATGGATGTCCTTGTACGAGATCCGTCCCAACTACCCAACTATAGAATGACTGATGGATTGTTATTCTTGATTGACCAAACTGAACAAAGACTGTGTATTCCTCGTAAGGAAGAGATTAAGTCTGTTGATTGGGGAATGTCACGACTCTGAGGGACATTTTGGTTTCAAGAAAACATATGTTGAAGTCAGAGAACGTTTCGAATGGAAGGGACTTAAAGAAGATGTACTAACATATGTTCGTACATGTCTAGTCTGTCAGAGAAACAAGCCGTCGCATGAGAACCCCCTTGGACTTCTCAAGCCACTACCTATACCAAGCGAACCAGGTGAGTCTATTTCAATTGACTTTATGAGTCTGGTTAAAAGTCGCAATGGTAATAGTCAAGTGATGGTAATTGCGGATCGTTTCTCTAAATACGCTATGTTTGTTCCCTTACCAGCAGAAGCACGTACTGAACTTGTCATTCAGAAGTTTCAGATGCGATGGGTCACTGAGTATGGGTTTCCTAAAACCATTGTGTCTGATCGAGATGTCAGGTTCACCAGTCTGCCATGGTAAAAACTGATGGAAGCTTATGTGATGGAAGCTTATGGCACACGACTGACCATGTCGTCAGGGAGGCATCCCGAAACGAATGGCCAGACTGAACAAATGAATCGTCTGTGCCAACAACTTTTGCGTAAGTATATTCGACCCGATCAGATTGATTGGCACGAGAACTTACCTAAGATTGGAAGTGCATATAACAATAGCGTCCATACTTCGGACGAACCCCAAATACACTTCACAAAGGATGGAAGCCTAAACGTCCCATTGATGTACTGAACCGGGACCAATTTCTTAGGTTGCCCCCAGGGACCCGAGAATATGCAATCTTTTTCCAAGAAGACATTCGGAAAGTTAAAGATAATCTAAGGAAAGCTCAACTACGGATGATTGAACAAGCCAACAAGCACCGTCGACCGTCTACATTCAAAGAAGGTGAATTGGTTTGGGTAAAATCTACAGAGTTTTCACTAAAAGAAGATGTCTCGCAAAAATTGCTACCTGTCTATTTTGGACCCTGGGAAGTTCTCAAGGTAATTGGAGATGCAGAAGGACTATCTTATCGAGTTGATATTCCCCCTCATCTCAAAACATATCCTGTCTTTCATGCGTCCAAATTGTTGCCTTACGTAGAAGAGAATGAGTTTCCACACAGACCCTCTATGATTCCACCAGACATGGATGGCGAATACGAGGTTGACAAGACCATAGAGCATGGCTACTTCTCTACGGGAGGACGTGGACGACCTCAGAAGCAGTTCAAGGTACGTTTTAAAACTCAAGCACCATCTGAGGACAAATGGTTTAGTAAGCGTGAACTACTTGAAACTGCTCCTGATATTGTCGTTGCTTATGAACGAGGGTTAAAGTCTTAAATATTTCTGCGGCGGAACTCGAAAATGGGCCGGCAGGAATGTAATAACCCTGTTCATAAGTAACCTGGTGCTCAGAACTCAGCCCCAGGAAACGCAGATCTGAGTTGATCAGCGCTGGGCTGTGTGACCAAGGCACGCCCAGGCCTGAGTCTGTCGAATGTGGTTGTGTGATCGAACATTGCACACAGGAAATTCAAGAGTCAAAGTCAATTGTACAGTCAAGGTCAACTGTAGAGTCAAAGGTACCGCACCCAAGCCCTTGGTTGGATACACTCACTTGTTGTGCACAAGTACCCAGACAACATCCAGGGCGGAGGGAATTTGGTTTTAGGCCAATCTGGGCCCTCATTCGCATTGAGATCTGGATGGCTGAGGGATACAGCATCCGGGGTCCAGACCCCGTGTCAACACTACATAAGAGCTGACTCCCTGGCTTTGACATTCATTCTGTCTTGCGTTGATGCTGACTTCACGCATTGACTTCAACGCTGGCTCGACGCTGCGACGCTGGCTCGACGTTGCGACGCTGGCATTGTGACTTGGCGAGGCGCTATTAGTCCGGCATGGTGGCCGGCTTGCTCCTTCTTGGCATGCTGACGTGGCAGCTGCCATGCGCCTTCGCTGATGTGGCTGCTGCCACGTGTATCATTCATTGACTGACGTGGCTGGTGCCACGTGTCTATGGATGGAACTACGTAATCGACATTGCTGTTCTGTTTCGTCGTCACTTCAGGACTGTGGAGAGTTCGAGGATACGTACCGGATGGTCTTCATGTCGACATTGCTCTAGATGCTGATGTGGAACTGATTAGACGTGCCACATGGCACATTGACCATACTCGGATACTCGTTCAGACTAGTGGGCATTATTCTTCCTCTCCTTTGTCTCTTCTCCCTCCTCTCTCTTCGTCTGTGTATGATATCTCACCTCATTCTGTCTGGTTTCGATTTGGACTTTTAGTAATCATCAGCCGATGGACAATTATCTGGGCTTGCATTGTTAACGACTGTCTCACGATCTGGGTTCATTACAGTTTGGTGCTTCGCTGGGAAATGGCGGGGCAGTGATAATGCTTGTGCATTGGAGTATAGGCGGCCCTGAGTTGGGAGGGCGCGCCTGGAAGGCTATGTGGTGACATAGGGGTGCACGCTGGATGATGAGAGCTTGCTGACGTGGCAATTTAAGCCGAGGTGGAACTGCATTGCATTGTGGGTTGTGTCGAGGCATCGACTGGTCATCATAAATGCACATCAGGTTACTGGTGAGAAATTTGTGGTTGGGGGCAGCACTATGAGGTACGTTGCTCCTTACCTTATC